AATATCCTCCAACCTCCGCCAAAAGTCAGAGTTCTGCTTGCTTGGCATAAGGTGTCGTTCTTTGATTCGGGTTCTCGCTTCTGAGGCGTATTTCTTTAAATTGCAAAGTCACATTTTGGTGGCTAAATTGCTTTTTGCCATTAGAAAACGAGGAAAATAGTACATTTCAAAAATCTGAATTGACATGTTTGTAATTGAGAAACAATGTGTACTTTCAAAATAATGATAATTTACAAAAAAAATACTCCAGGTAATTTAGACACCAATTGACTGCATTTGGATCATTTTTTTTGCTACGTTTCAAGTTTCTCATAGTAAATTTTAATCTAAATTGTCCATGTGTACTCTTGCAACTTGAATCTCTTCATTCTGTTTTCCTGTGGTGAGCCTTATAACACACTGACCTTGATTTTTTTTTCTGTACTTCTCTTTGCTTCCTTCTGACAGCTGCTCTTTCAAACAAACATCTTCAAAACAATGTTGTATTGATACTTTACAATAGATTGAATGTTGAGCTAAGCTAATGTTAACTTTATTTAGAATAGACTAATTAATCATTTATGAAACATACACAAACAGTGTCATTGTTTTGTATTATCATTAGGATAGCATACTGCATTGGATTATGCCGAGGTTAGGCTGCCACCTTGTGGCTGACTCCTCTTGTTTCTCTCTGTCAACCTGCAGGATCAGGCATCTAAGGACAAAGCCCTGCAGAACATGGCAGCGCTGTCATCTGCACAGATCGTCTCTCCGAGTATAATAAATAAACATCTTCCACCACTGCCTCCGGCCCCGTATCCACCAGCCAGAGTGAGACTGCTGTTCAATTTTTGGCAATTAAAAGGCATTAATGTTTTTCATTGCAGTTTGAAGTGATTCAAATGGGCACTGACTTTTATTTTCTTCTTTACTCTGTAGTTCTGGCCTGCTCAAATCCCAGGACAGCCTGGACCTTCTCAGGAGTAAGTAAACCCCTGCACTGAACGCACAGGAACTTTGTGGTATCATGGTATTCTTTCTGAAGTAAGAC